GAACTAATTGTGGGAATTGCTGTGTGAGGAGTCGCTATTCGAGGGGCGTCAAATAACTGCGAGAGTCGCTATTCTAGGGGCGTCAAATAACTGCGAGAGTCGCTATCCTAGGGGCGTCAAATTACTGCGAGAGTCACTATCCTAGGGGCGTCAAATAACTGGGAGAGTCACTGTCTGAGTGACCTGAACTAATTGTGGGAATTGCTGTGTGAGGAGTCGCTATTCGAGGGGCGTCAAATAACTGCGAGAGTCGCTATTCTTGGGGCGTCAAATAACTGCGAGAATCACTGCCTCTGGAAATACTGTATATTTACTTCCTCCATACAAAATGACAAACTGTGAATCAGTGGCGGATTTATGGGATGGCACAGGGTGGCGGCTGTCACCCCTTCCACACACACACGTGGCACTCTCTAAAACCGCATTGAGAGCTTGATGGGCCGAATGGCCTCCTCTCGTTTGTAAATTTCTTATGTTCTTATGTTCTTATGCTAAAGCCGTAGCATTAGCGATACCGTCACATACCAAACCAGGTGGGCGCGGGATATATTTTCGCAATTGCAGACAGGATCAGACAGTCTGAATTAAACATGCAGAATAATTGCGGGATAACAAATGTCTTTTATTCTACTCAATAAGACTCCAGCATAAATTCAAATAAAACTCTATCAGATCATACATATACATCTGCGCATCTGAGAGAATGTTTGTGTCAGAACCCTTTAAAATTTCATGCCATCCCTTTGCCAGCCCATGCATAACGTTGTCAATCTGCCCCTGCTGTGAATTAGAATGCACTTTTCAGTTCAGTTCTGTTCTGAACGATTCGGAGATGGTTATCATCGCCTTCCTGATACTTTTGTTTGTGTTCGATATAAACCAAATCGAACTGCACATGAGTTTAACCAGTCCGGCCCCAACCCTGTTTCCTCCCCCGTGGGAAAGGGTGGGCGTCCCCGGGGGGGGGGGTATAGCTTCAGCCGGCTAATGCATGCAGTACATTTCTAACTGTGCCGTTTCCTACTGACTGGAATCCTTGATGCGCTGTAGATGCAAATCAGGTGCAAACAGAAGGGAACCTGTAAATGCATTATTGTAGAGATGTTTATATTGCATCTTAAAACCAGATACTTCTCTACTGCTCTAAGTTATTCTAAGAAAAGGCTATTAGACTATCGCCTGATTACTTTATCCTGATGTTATTCTAAGGCCGGTTTGTTTAGCTTTCCTGCGATTGGTTGATATTACACTGATGTTTGCGGGGAAACAACAAACTTTGTTTTGTTCCAATTTCGTTATATATTCTTTGTTTTGCTTGCTTATCCATACCTTGCTCACTACAGTTCTGTTATCTTAGAATTAAAATGGAAATGAGATCATGCTATCTTAAAATATTTGAGTTGATTCCCAGCAGTGATATTTTTCCCTGTACCTCCCACCCGCCAGCTGTACGTTCAGGCCCGGCTGGTGGCAAAATGGGCCCGACTTCTGCGACCCACAATCCAGTTCTTCCTCTTGGCGTTCGCTGTCTACGTGGGCTATACCCGCGTGTCTGACTACAAGCACCACTGGAGCGATGTTCTGACAGGTCTCCTGCAGGGGGCGCTCATTGCCATCCTCATTGTAAGTCCCCCCTTGCGTTTTCTCCTGGTTATTTCTGCACTGCACCTGAATGATCTGGTGACAGATGTTGCCGCCTTGCTCCCTTGTGGGATGACAGTGGTTTCTTGTGCCAGTGTGCCAGTGCTGTGTCTTAGGTTGCGTGGTGCTGCTGGAGAAGCTTCTGGAGAGGAATGTTTCTCCTCGGTCAGGGACTATGGCTAGCAAGCGACAATGGCAGCAGTACCTGCCTGTTTGGCAAAGGTGCAGAAAGATGCAGAAATAAGACTTACAAAGAATAGTGATTTATCTCAGCCTTCCCATATTCCTTCTTGAGACCCCCCCCAACAAATAAACAAACAAACAAATAAACAAACAAACAAATAAATGAATGGCGTGCTCTTTATCTTTTATTTCTTCTACTTCTACTTCTTTTATATCTTTTACTGAAGCCAATTCACTGCATATGCAGAATGTGAGGACAAAACATACCTAACAAAGATTGCAGTCCTGTATCAGGCAGACATTTTATCATATCATAGGTATTGTCATTTTTTTTTGTTTTGTTTACAGTGATGATTCTAAAATAATTTTAGCATCTTTCTTACATTGCATAGCTCACCATGTGACTATCGCATGTGCGGCCAATGTGCCGATATACATGCACCCCCCCCCCCCCTTCCGATTCCACTGCATGAGATTCACAGACATACCGATGAGAGCGGAGCTTGAGGTTGAAACAGTTGGGGCAAGAGACCAAATGTGGCGTCATTCCAGCAGTCGTGGGATTTGAACCAGCAACCTTCTGATCACAGGCACAGTGCCCCGCCCCCTAAAATAATACTATGTCCCACCCTTTCCTACAGGTGCGCTACGTGTCGGACTTCTTCAAGACGCGCCCCCCCCGCTGCTCGAGCCCTGAGACGCCTGATAGTGAGGAGCTGGAACACAAGCCCAGCCTGCAGGTCCGCGACACTGAGCGCAGCAACCATTTCGGCTACCCAAGCTCAGCATGATGGGGGTGGGGGGGGTTCCTGAATGCCGCTCAATCTTCGGACAGGATGGCGGCGGAAGCGGCGCACAGTGGACGTGCCCGGTGATCTGGACCCGCCTGCCCGCCTTCCCCGCAGCCGCGAGCTCGTGGCAGACTTGCTCCGCCGCGTGTGACTGCATTTTAATTCTTCCGTTTCTTATCCTGAGTTAGTAGTGTAAAGCTGGACTGTGAAGAGCGACCTTTTTATACTAAGTTGGTGGGGGCAGTGAATGTTTCTGTACAAACGGTGGGGTATGAGGATTGGGGTGGGGGGGGGGGCAAAGCAGATGCAGTGATTAATTAAAGGCCAGTGGACTGACATTGACAGCAGGTTCTTGTATTACTAAATTCCTCTTCCTCCCGGTACCGCCCATCTTGTGGAGGATTCTGGGTAGTCGCTGCACGCTTGCTGCATGCTCCCCCCCCGAGTTCGGGTATCTTAACCAGAGTGGATTGGCTGCTTTATCCTATGTATGTGCCTGTCAGCATATGGTAAGTAGTTCCAGTTTATATTGGGAACTAACTGACCTGGACACTACTGTAGGTGTTTCCCAGTCTTGTGCACCGTGTGACTAATCCACGCCTCTCCTGAGGTTTTTTAAATTCCTATATTAATTACATTACCATGAAGCCAAACTGGGCTTATGCTTTAAGGATTTTTATTTTATGATGTATGAGTTGGCACTGTCGCCTCACACCTCTGGGACCCGGGTTTGAGCTTCTGCCAGGGTTCCATGCGTGGAGTTTGCATGTTCTCCCCAGGGTTCCATGCGTGGAGTTTGCATGTTCTCCCCGTGTCATCGTGGGGTTTCCTATCGGTGCTCCGGTTTCCCCAAACAGTCCAAAAACATGCAAATTTGTTTGGAGTTGCCAAATTGCCAATGGGTGTGAATGGTATGTGTACATGGATTTATTCCCTGCATTGTGCCTTCAGTTCCTGGGACAAACTCCAGTTCCCAGCAGCCCTGCATAGAACAAGTGGGGATGGATGTATGTATGTATGTATGTATGTATATTTCAGAATAAAATACCACTATATATTATTCATGATTGCTACATAAACACATTTAATACAGGAAATATCAGCATTTAGGATAGACATTTAGAAACTGGTATATTTGCCATGCATGTTTGGTAATCTTCAAAATTAAACACAGTCCCTGCCATTCCCAAGCTCAATTTGCATCTTTTTAAAAACTGGAGCATTAGACCCATGTTGAACATTAATTAGACTGCTATTCCAGCAATTAATTATGCTTTTCAACATGAGAGAGTACATTCTCGCTTTATTTATTTTCTCTGTGTATATTTATAGTAAATGATGAGGCTAATGACCTGCTTCATAGAACGTTGTATGAAATGCCATATATCAGATATATCGGAGTTAAAATATTGTGCTCAGATTTCTAATGACAAAGGTTTTTTTTTTTTAATTATACAATGTGTACACTCAGTTGCATATGTACTACGTAACAACAATTTCTGGGTGCAAGTTTTAAGTTGACCTCTAAAGGTTGTAAGAAATATATATATTTTTCCTTGGGCCAGCCATTATTTTGTCCCATTGTGTTAATATGGGTGATATTAAACTCTGAGATCATGCGTCTTTAAAAAACGCCGGCAAAAGGACTATACTGGTGACGAAGGCCCCATTTAAGGGCTCGAGGACGAAAGGCCCCCTGACAGACTGAGTTTTCCATCCCCCGGTTCTGTGCCGACAGCTAACTGTGTCAGAATAAGACTCACGGACCAGAAGGAAGAGCCGCCGTTCACGTGGCTGCCTGGTCCGCCGGGCTGGATGCGCTACAATGTAAACCTCTGCTAACCTGCGCTGAGTTATTTTTGTTGAAGGTTTCAGGTGCCTGAATTTGACACCCTGGTATTTCTGGAATGATGAGAGGAGGTTGAGCAGCATCTAGTCATAAGGACCAAAATGTTTAAAGTGTGCCTTTATACTGTGGCTCTTCCCTGTGACCCTGTAATTTTCGACCGCCTGTCTTTTTATACGTACGGTTATACATTTGTAGGCTTGTTTTTAATCTTATGTATATTTGTCATTGACGTTTACGTGACTGTGAGTTGTTTTTTTCCCCCCCCGAAGTAAACATTGCTTGGTTTACATAACTGGTCACGTGACATGCTGAAGCTTTGTTTGCAGGATAATAGCTCTTGTTTTTTCCAGTTCCAGCCGGTATTGCAGGTTACTTATTTTGTTTTTTCATGGTTACTTTTCTTACTGTTCAAAAATTGGAGTCCCAGTCCCCACACACATAGCAACAATTCTTAAACCTTTCTGCTTTATCCAGATCACCATTCCTGTGTTTTATTTCCACTGAACCACTTTCAGGACACTCATTTTTTTTTAAGCCTTTGAATTCTCTGTGGTTGTTCATTCTAACCTTAAATTTCTGGATGGGGGTAGACTGTATTTAGCTTAAGTGGCCATTATTACATTGTAAATAGTCAACTTTAGTTATAGATGTCCACAGTTTTGTATCCTTACTCGGTAGCGTATGGATTGCGTGTAACCTTCAGCAGACAGAACGGCAGTTTGCACCTTTGTTTAACTCTGCTAGTGGCTGCTGTTTTTCCAGACCATATAACCTACCTGTTGTGACAGGAACACTTGGTGAAGCAATCTTTGGGATATCATAAGCAGTAAGTTGATGTTCACATCCGAGGATTAACTTATTATGAATATAAACATTTTGGTGTACATTACGATATCGTTGCTAAGCTAACGCTTTTATCCAAAGTTGAAAACGTGAAGCCATTGACATAACTGGAGTAATTCTCAAGAGTACTAAAATCTCTAAAAAGCCCACATTTTTAAACATCATACTATTTGCTTCACAACAAATGAACGCTGTCTTTGCAGCACCTGTTCGGAGTACCATGGGACATGATAAGGTTTGTTTAAAGAGTAGCTCTCAGATCCTGCTAGGAATGCTGACGGGTGTGTTCCTCTTCTCTTGGAGCTTTGACTGCCTTTGGGCTGGGAAACTCTCACGTGCGTGTGCAGGACGATGTAACTTTAAGAGCCCTGCAGGCATTTCACCCATGTGGAGTTTCGATTTCTCATGAAAGGAGAGGAGAGACCAAACCTGCCTGTTTCACTTGCCGCCTGTTTTAAACTTTTATTTTGACATGGGACTTGCATTACTCGTAAGCCTGGTTGTTAAGGTTGCACTGGGCCTTCCACCTCCTTTCATTAGTACGGTACTGAGTCCTGCATGAGTACTCACTGATCGTGGGCATCCTGCTGACATGTCCAGGCCTTTGATTTACATTCGACCGACTCTGAGGAATCCTCAGGAGAGCCTCGTTTAGAGCCTAAGCTTCCACTTTCCTTTTGAACGCAAGTCCACCACCTCTGCTTATTCCTGAGCCTTCAGCCAGACTTATGAAGCAGCACAGACACGATGGGGGAAAAACAAAACGAGAGTATTTCTTTGTGCAGGACTGGATTATTAACTGGGATATTTTAAACCAAAATAAACACCAATTTATATCTTAAATTATTATTTATGTGGCAATAGCTGTAAACTCGCATTTAAGATATTACTCAGACATTTGGCTTGTAGTTAGTGTTGATTTTGCATTTTAGGTGTCCTGAGCACTGTGTGTGAGCATTCAAAGAGTAAATGTAGCTACTCAACCTCATGCTAATGAGAATCGTTGCTGCCAGCATAGTAAAGAATAATATAAATACATACTATAACCAGCATAAATTATTTTTATCCTTGACCACTGAGCCCATGGCAGTTTACTAATCGGTGATGAACAACACGAACCAGAAAGCATTTTCTTTATGACATACTCCAGGTTGTGCAACCCGTAATGGAGTAATATTTTTTAATTTTCATTAATTTTCATCTAAGGGGTTTATTAATGACTTTGCAGTCACTTTAATAGCATGGTGTGGCCCAAAACACCTAGCTGTATCAGTACTGAGGATCAGTCATCTTGAGGTAACGGTTCATGTTCCCTTTGGTATGTGTGACACACGTCATTGTCATAGGAGAGAGACCTTTTTGTGCTGAAATGCATAATGTCTGCTGTCCGGAATCTATGAGGTCGCATTCCTGGTAAACGGAGAAGTTCTGGGGGGAGGGTTGCTGGTAAACTGTGGTTCTCAAGGACAAAAAATAGTCTTTTATGGCTCCAGACTAAGAAAAAATGTGGGCCCCACACAGGGGTGGTCTGTGACGCTTGTAAAAGAAGGTCTGTTTATATTTCATAATTAAATTTGGTTGTATTTATCTAAGCACATATTTATATTTTGTTACTGTTGGCCCTAAAAACATGCACTTCACAACAATAGTACATTCAAACTGGTAGTTCCATGGGAAGCTGTTTTTTTAATCATGTTCTTCAAACTGTCAAGGATGTCCTAAGATTCTACAATAAGCGTTTTGATAAAGAGATTTGATAACTTTGTTGTTTTTCCTCCCAAATGCTGAGGTAACGCTTGGTCTTTCTCACAACCTGCCTGTTGATTCTGGCAAGTGTAATGCAGGGGTCGCATTCCGGATTTAAAACATGCATCGCATGGTCACTCCTCATTTTTAATGGTCTCAGGCGTTCCAACATGCAAAGTGCCTGACCAAAGAGACACCTTGTCTTTGGTCTTGTCACGTATTAATGGTCTGACCCTCACGATTCTAGCTCTTTGCTGTTCTTTTTCGAGGTTTTATACCAGCAGCCAATGCCCTTCATGGTGTTTTGCGTCACACTGTGCTTCCTGAGTCCAAGAGACGGAGTAGGAATAGGTGCTGAAGGTAAGATGTCTGGATCGAATCCATGTTGTTAGCACTGTGGGGAGCAGACGGGGTGAACAGCGCAAACACACAGCCGATTAGGGCCTGACAAAAGACAAACCAACTAGGACACCATAAGAGCCAGAACAGAGGGATGGGGCTGGATGTACTGCATTATAATTATTCAGTACTCTTACAGGTATGTAGGGGTATTCCCTGGTGTGACATCTCTACATTCTCCCATTTACTTATTTGGTAACGCTTCACATTAACTGCACCTTCATAATGCATTCATAAAACATTCATAAGCATGTAAGTATACCTTAATGTTCTAACATACCTTAACAGCTTTAATAAATATTCATAACAAACACTGTAATCATATAATGTTTATTATTACTGTATATTAAAGTTAAGGTATGTTAGAACGTTAAAGTATACTTATATGCTGCTTATGAATGTTCTACGAATGCATTATGAAGGCGTAGTTAATGTAAAGCACTACCAGTTATTTTAAATTAGTACTGTGTCAGGGTTTTACACACTCAGACTGGAAATTAATTAAACAAGACATATGGCCTCCTGCCCAGCTTGACCTTGATGGTTTTATATACTGCTGAATTTGTTATTCTTGTATTTTCTCTCTTAAAAGGTTTTTGTTGTTTCACTGACAATTTTGAGAATAAAATGGGAATTGCAAACAAAATGAAGAAGATCCTTCCTTATGCTATATTTTCACGTTCTTCAGAATCTGATCTGACCCTTATTTTTCCTGCGGCTCGTCCAGTACAGCATCCTAGGGCAGGCTGGAGCCGATGCCAGGCAGTATCGGGCACAAGGCAGAGGTACATTCTGGATGGGATGCCAGTCCAGTGCAGGGCATACACACTCACTCACACTCGCACCCGCAAGCTCACACTGATCAATTCAGAGATTCGCCAAACTGCTCCTCTGTGGAGAACAGGCAGAATCCCTCACACACGGGGTGTGGTTTGAATCGCCGACCTTGCAGTAGTGGGGAGGCTGTGCCACACACACCATACTGTGGCAGAACCTTCTCTGTGGATCGCCGGTTCTGTGAGCTGTTCTTGTGCTTTGTTTTCATCGAGAGTATAATGTGTTATAATAGCTCCTGTGTAAATCCACTCGCCTCAGTCTCCGGACTTCTCCATGACGGCATGGAGGTGCACCCTTTTCCCATCCCACTGTAAACATTGATCCCCCCCCCCCCCCCAAGGTCCGCAAATGTGCATTTCAGGCCTTGCAGTTAAATGACATTTCAGCATTTCAGTCTGGTTAGAAGGTTCTCTCAGGCTGGGACCTGGCGCATTGTGTTGGAAAGAGGGTTCACCTGGTCAGCGAGAATTACACTGATGACGTGTCTTCCCAAGCATCGCTGCTTTAATTAAACGTTCCTTCCCCCGTTCGGCGTGGAGGCCTGGAGCAGGTGTCAGACTGGAGCTGCACCCTCTGATCTAGCATCTGCCCCCGCGCTGCAAAGAAAAAATATCGACACAGGTACTGTGTGTTTTTGTGGGGGTTATGTAAGACCTGTCTCTCACACGGGCCAAAGCAGCCCAGCTGTTGTGCTGAATGCGACGCCTGCTTTTACGGTCAGCTAGTTGTACTTCCTCTGGGTTGGACCCAAGACAGCCGGGTGTCGACATTCCAGTCAAATCAAGGGATGGCCCTTTTAGTTAGGAGGAATACATGTTCTATCCTGAAGGAAATATGAATACTTTTGATGAAATTTTGGCCATTTGTATTAAGAAAATTCCAACCTACATACACAAAAGAGATCTCCTCAGTTCATAAACTTGCCCACAACCTCCTGGTATGCAGGGAACCATAATGATGAGAAAGCGACAGCAACCCCCTTCTTCTGGGACTGAGGGTAAACCAATAATGGGCACTTCTGGTGTGCAAGACAATGATGTGTGACAATGCTGTACTTAAGTCTGGCATGAACAGTCATTCTTACATGTTTATATGAGGCGTGTGTGTGTATGTGAGTGGGTTATGTATATATTAAATTTTGGGGACCAAATGTTCACAATGTGATGTTTTTTTTTTTTTTTTTTACAGATTGGGACCATTTTTTTGTCCCCACAAGGGGAAACTCAATTTTATAGAAAGCTGTGAATGCAATCAAAAAACGAAAAATGCTAGAAGTCTTGTACTTTGTTTGGTTACTTATGGTTAATGTTAGGGCTGGGTAGGAGTTAAGGTTTCATTCTTGGGATTAGGGTTTTTCCCATAGAAAGAAATGGACAGTCCCCACAAAGATACAAATATAAACGTGTGTGTGTGTGTATGTTCACACACTGTGGTTGCTCCTGTTATGCTCCTTGACTCTACACACCATTACTTCACAGTGGGAACGCTTCACCATCATCCCAACGTCCATAAAGGCATGTTTTGGCTGTCATGTGCACTGTGCTTAATGACCATCTGCACAGAGTACAGCAAACAGAACCTACGTCATGCTGCATAGACGAGTGTAATGCGGCTTTAAAACTGCCTGACTATGTTTCTCTGTATAATTACTTTAAAAGGATTAAAAATGAAGCTTTCTCCAGCTGACCGTCCCAACCCGACTGCAGAAAACTCTCCAGTATATTGACAGACACTATCATGCCGCTACCTAAGTCCTGTTTTGTTGTGTAACTATGTGCTAAGACCACTCTGTAGATAGATTTCCTTCTCCTGTGGTAATATGCAGAACAAACAAGTGGTTCCCAGTTTTTGATCTCTAAGGTTTGACTGCCAAAGGCAGAGCAAGCAAACATAACCCAACATTACTGGCAAAGTCCACGGTGAGGATACAGAGGGATGTCAAGCAGGGTATTAACAAGGAGATTAGTCATACATATTTCTGTTTTGTTACCATTCATATATTGTCCTATCAATCACCTGAATTAGCCTTGCTAGGCAGCTCTATAAGGTGCTGACCTACAGTGTTGGTGTTCAGACCCTGTGTGTGACTTGATTTACCAAATCTTTTTTTGTTGCCGAAATAGGGCATGGGAGAGATTTTGCAGTTCAGGAAAAAAATGACCAAGGTAAACAGCCGATGACCCTAATGAAATCTGAAACATCTGCTTCTGCCCAATGTAAATATTATGTAACCGGTGCTTTTGCATTTTTATAATGTGCTCTCCTAGGGCAGCGACACTGTGGTAGGCCCTGAAATCCATAATATTTCAGGTAACTGGCCATTCATCCCTGCTGTGTCTCCCACTGTCGCATGGCAAGATTTAATACTTACGTTTCCAGCACCTAGATAGAACCCCGCGGAGAAGCTGGCAGCTTCACATTCAACCTGAAAGCCTCCTAGTTCTGTTGATATTTATAACTTCCCTTCGCGACATCTGACACTTAAATCCTGCACCGGCAGGGTCCTGCCAAAGCAGGGTGAGGACCTGCAGTGGAGCTGGGTCTGGAAGAGCAGGAGGATCAAGAGGAGGAGAAGCCAAGGCCTGGAAAATGCAAACTCTGTTCTCTACCTTAAGTTGGAAGGGGAGGGCATGGCTTTACTACCCATAGGGAAGGAACTTCAGGAAGGGAATGGTAATCTGCAGCCACAGGACACAAAGCTGCTTGTTTCCTCTTTAAGGGCTCCTCTGCACTAAGACCTCATAGGGTGACGATACACAGGGCAACCTTTTCAGCAGTGTTGCCGGCCAGTGTTGCCGGCCAGTGTTGCTGACCAGTGTTGCTTGGCACATTCCCATTGATATTGGGCAACACATTTTATTTGGAAAACTCTGAACGGCAGTGGGCAACTTTTCGCAATCATCCAGATGCAGATAAATTGTCCTTTGTCTCACCTAGTCGGCAATTGCCCAGTAACATTGCTCAGTTGCTCAAAAAGTTGCCCTGTATCTCATCACCTTTAAGGCTTTAGACTGGAGTGGAAAAGGTTCAAGAAATATATTTTGACATGAAATCCTTATATACATTTTATTATACTATGTGTAATATTATATATTACATTTAGTTATTCAACTGCATAGGCTCCGGACTCCCAGAGACCCTGAATAGGACAAGTGGTTACAGAAGATGGATGGATGGATAATCTTTCATGTTCTAAATAAGCAGTGATGTGTTGATGTTTAATGTATGGTTTTATTTGTGTGCGCACCTACGACTGTGGTGCTCCTTAAAATAGCTAGATCTCATTGACACGTTAAGAAAGCTAACTGCATGTCTTTGAGGTTCAGGATTTACCTGGAGCACCTGCAGAAGGCAACGTGACGAGGGAACATGCGTAGCTGCACAGCTTCAGAGCAGAGGTGCCTTTCAAGTCCTCAGTCTTGGAGGTGAGAGGCCCCAGTGCTCACTACCAATATATGCATACACATATACTTAGATGGAACCTGATATTAATGCTGAAAATGTGACAGGCTGCCATAAAATGGAGAGGGTTTTTTGTGTCGTTCTGTGACCTACATTCCAATTTCCGTCATTCCTTTCTCGTCAAAAAAAAAAAAAAAACACGAAACTGTGATATCAGCTGGTGTTAGATTTTATCATTTTATTTTCCTTTCAGCTTCTCCAAATTTCTGTTCTAAAGTCCATTTTTTAAATTCCTTTTTTTGTTGTTGTTCATAGACAAAAAACCATATAAACTTTTTGTCCTTCCTCAGTGAGACTAAATGGTTCTTAAATTTATGCTTTTGTCAATATAATTTTATTCATTATTCTTTACCTTTATTTTATATTTTATTTTATTTTATGAGTGTGAATCCAGCCATTTTCTTGCATTATTACATGAGATCTTAGGAGTGTGTAATTATTTTCTTGTATTCCAGAATTCCAACACGTTCCTTGGATGAAAGATTCAAAATCTTGGCCCAAGAAGAGCAAACCTACAGTTTTACTGGTTCAGTCAGTCTATAGATGTTTACCCAGGTTAAATGCTAATATAATTATACATTCAATCAGATAGCATGACTGTTGACTGTGAGTTTGAGACCTTGACTGAACACGACATCGTTTATTGTAGGGATTCCTTCTACGTCATTCATCTTCACAGCAGGCAGAATTACTGCAGATCATATGCAAATCATATACTGTATTCTGTAATATTTTCAAACATTTTACAATTTGGTTGTTAATGGGTGACCCTAAGACATAAAGCAGCTAATTATCCACTCACTCCATCCATCTCCCAGCCATTTATTCAGCATTTGGGGAAGGATCCTATCTTCTCAACTATTATTTTCTTTCTCACACCACTAAAGCAGATTTTATATTCTCCCTTCTGCTGTTTTTAGGCTGTAATGATAGTTTCACTATAACATATAATGGCTTTATATTTATCTTTGTAAGTTCAAGACTATTCATTTCTAACATTTATCAGAATTGCACTTCCTTTTTTCCTGATGATTATAGTTTCACTTAAATGTATGTCTAAGCCTACGTCCTAACCCATACTGGGTGTAACCTTTCCAAGTATGAAATGATATTCTTACACCTTCCAATTCAGAATTGTGGGCTCTATGTTGGGTAGAAACACTGAAGCTGGCTGGACAGAAATTCTCCAGTTAAAACACTGGCTTGTAATACACTGGGTATTAGTTGTCTATAACCCAAAAGACTGGAGATACTGTACTTGGATGGATTTTTTTTTTTTTTTGGGGGGGGGGGACCCCTCTCTTGTAGCCTGAGTTGAAATTGCAGTTAACTGGGAAGACCATCACTGTGCTATGTTCTATGCTGGCATTTTGCACTTTTGCATAATTAGCTTGTCAGTACCCTACAGGTACATAGAGTAATAGGTTATGTGTGCATCAGATACCTACACATACATAGCAGGATACGTTTTTTTGGGCTCAGGTAAAGGTCAATGGTTACCAAGTTCCATTTCATAATCGGTCTTAAGTGATGTTTTTTTCTAAAAATGTATAAAAATATGTCCTGAATTATAGGTTCTTGAAAATAAATATCTTTACATTCTTAGTTAACTTACACATTTCGTGTTTTTCTGGATACACACACCAGCTCCTTATCTGTTATCTGTCATCATAGCACAGTAAGCAAAGGCATATTTTGCACATATTTGCAGTTGATTGCAGCCTGATTGCAGTGCATGCTCTAACCCTGCACTTCTTCATACAGTTTGCTGGCTATGAATGCTGATACCGGCACTGACGCTGTTGGGGATTCTGTTCCTGGAGAGGAACGTTCCTTCAACAGCTTGGGGAAGGTCCTACAGAGATGGTCCAGATCACAGTATCTACATGCGGGTTCAAATCCAGTGATTATCATGCTATTTTAGAGATAATGTATCCATCAGCTTTTCCTGCTCGCTTTTCTCATTACAATTGTTACAGTTTAGAACCCATCCTAAAATAATGGGTTAAAAGGCACCGTAAACCCTAGAAAGGATGCCAGCAATTACTCACAGAAGCCAATATCCAGTGCAGTGAGTGGTTTCTGTATGTTTATGCTTATAATACTGTGAAATGTCATCTTAGATTTTATGGAAAATTTTAGTCAATTACCACTTCCCACAGTGGTAATGTTTGGGATTATAATTATTAAATTTCAAATATAATAGCGCCTTACATTTACCTTCGATTACAGGCATCTGTTGACTGCAAATATTGTAACTTTAGTCACATATTGCATCATGGTTCATGCCTCATTAAAATGTAGCTAAAGGAGTTCAGAGTGAATCGGAAACCAAGGCTGCAGTGGCCATGAAGTGTCAGCCTCCCCCTCCAAGTATTATTATTAATAACAATAATAAAAATAATAATATGCTTACGCTCTCAGAATAAGGGTACAAGGTTGTGCTGTCACTGGAGCTGTACCCTCAATGATCTGCCAATTGTACCTTAGCTGTAGCTAATTGTACCTTGTAGGGTACAGAAATTGACTCTGGGGAACATTTCTGTACCATTGATGGTACATTATTGTTTGTGCATTTGTGATGTTCCTCAGAGACGATTTCTGTACCTTAAAAGGTACAATTACAAGGGTACAGCCCCAGTGGCAAGCTATGGTACAAATTTTTACCCTTTTTCTGAGACTCTATGACTCGTTATTACTGTCAGTGATGAAACATGAAATGTAGGTCTTAAAGTATATGTAGTGTATATTTTATGCTCCGATTCCATTTGAAGGGGATAAAGCGTCATTGTCTTTGAAACATGTTAAACTCACACTGAGTAAAACAATCTAGACTAGCAAACAAATGCGCTTGAAAATGTCTAAGACGCTCTTCACGACTTTTTAAAAACAAATGCATAACGTATCTCCATCCATCCACTTACTATATACCATTGTCCTGAGTTAATTCGAGATAATGAATGGAAGCTGAAGTCGAGATACAGTAGGCTGATCTCTGGTGGGGAAATGTAACAATTACACCAATAAAGCGATCGGAAGAAGCATTTATTGGATGAAATTCACTTCTAAATATACATCACGAAAGAACAACTGAATTAACATAGATCTTGACAAAGAACCGTGCATAAAAATCACATGAGAGTACGTTAAAATTACATCAGAAACCAATTCTTTGCAGAAAAAAAGGGTATTTGACCTCGATAATTAACATTGTTTTATGTTTTTATAGAACGATTATTTTAGTCTTTTTAAACTTCAAAATAATATCGGATTGTCATAAAATAATTTAATACAAAATAATGAATAACGTCGCCATTTAAAGTATAAATAAAAACATAAACGACTGTATGGAAATTGTCATTTCATACAGATTCACTGTGTCCTTGATTCAAACACCCCTTTGAACAGAACCGTACCTTCAGTCACGAACCATGAGAAAACTTCTACAGGTTCTACCGAGATTTGAACTCGGATCGCTGGATTCAAAGTCCAGAGTGCTAACCATTACACCATAGAACCAAGGATCGAGCACCATCTTCAAATGAGTATTTTTCAGAACTTCGCCAATGACTTAAGCTTTTAAATGTTTTATTTATTTATATGTTTCTTATATGTGAAATCTTCATTAGTTTCAAAAGTCATAAACTACTTTGCAACTTAGATGCAACCGAGATGCACATATCAGTGCATTAATAATAATATGCAGGATCTTACAATATAGGCAATTTTTGTCTCTATTCTAAAGCCATATAATGTACACACACTTATAGGCCTATCTGGCGATTTTCTTACATAGGTATAGTTTACTTATTAATAGTAGCGAATTATGTTATTTGCTGTTCAAAAACAGTCCAGTTTTAAAGAGGACGTTTAAATTGACAGCAGGTCTTCTGTATGAGAATTTTATAGAAAATGTTGTAAAAAGAGCAACGAATGTGCGGTTTTGGTCTTGGTCATTGCTATAGACAGCGCCAGTCCGACGAGAGGAATACAATGAAGTTCCTATGAACGACCACAGAGGGGCAGCCGGAGTTTGCAAAGGTGAATTAAGTTCTCCTGTCCTCCTGATCATCTCGTCAGTTTTATTAACTAAGTAGAAATGAGTAGTTAGAAGATGGATGGATATATGTCAAGTTCACCTGGGGCTTGACCTTTTTTTATTTTGTTTTATTTTATTATTAAGATAATTGGATTCTGGGCTGAAATACTCGGTGTTACGCTGGAGTGATCGGACCTAACGACGCCCATGAATCCAGTCTAACAGGTCAGGATGCTGTTCAACGAAATAGTTACTTCAATATTAATTCAAATGCAGGAACTCGTGGCCATAGGTGGAAATTAGCGGGAGAACATTATAAACTGGATTTGGGAAAGCACTTATTTACACAGCGTCTAGTTAGAGTATGGAATAGTGTCCCTGTTAGTTTAGTGCAAGCTAAAACCTTGGGTTCCTTTAACTCTGAGCTAGATAATATTTTAACAGCTCTGACCTATTAGCGGAGTTCTCCCCCAAACGAGCCTGATGGGCTGAATGGCCTCCTCTCGGTTGTAAAATTCTTACGTTCTTATATACATTACATTACGTATGTGATGTACCAGGAGCTCCTAACAGGAAGTACAGGGTGGGAAGTAGTAGGCACCTTGAATGTAGTGACAACTTAAGCCATTTCACAGTCACATGTAACTAGGGCCTTGTCCACACGTACACGGGTATTTTAATAACGGTGTTTTCCCCCTCCGTTATTAGAAAAAAAAATCTCCGTCCATATGGAAACGCTGAAACGCTGTCAATAGCATGCCAAGCCAACAGGCGGCGATATAACTCTGACCGTAAGGCCAGGTTGGCCAATCAGAAGCCTTATTACCAGTTCTGCTAGGCTAAAAACAGCTAATGTAAACAGCGAACGGCGCACTCTCTGACGTCAGACAAAGGGTCATTAATTGGGTCATTTTATCTCCCTGCCTTACTGTTTCACAGTCACAGAAGATACAGCAAGAGCACAAAGCAACCGCACAAGATGATGTTCTATGGAAATCTATGTTGAATCTCAGCCAAACGCGCCGAAGTCCCTGGAGCCAAATTCCAAACGTGGAACTTCAGCACATAAAGTGAAAAAATCCCAGCAGCAAAATCTGAATTACGAAAGCGACTATAAACTACAAAAGCTCAATGAGATCCACAGCGTGCATGGCAATAATACTAAATGCAATGTCGTCTGGCTTTAAAACCTGTTCACTGCTTTAGAGTACCTAATTAGAGGCCAAAACACAGAAAAATGCGAACGATGTAAAGATCGGAGACCACAGTCAAGAGCAGGGATATGAACCCATTGCAGGCTTCTATTAAAGGAGAATGTGATGTGTTATCACTTCGTTCTGAGGAGATCAATATGAGATGCTTCAACGTATTTCGCCCCGGAAAAATTGTTCAGTTGTTCAATGCTAGATATTACCTATAATAACAATCTCTTATTGAAATAGTGAATTTATAACTGGCTCTCAATACTTGAGCGACACGGAGCAGCATGATAAAGTGACAAATATCACCATATACAAAGGATAGTGGTATTCCACATTTCAGTATGATCAAGATGGCAGTTTTAATTGTGATGATATAGTTTATGCATCTTTGTAAATGTGCTATGACCAATCGCCCTCCTGCTTCCAGAGTAATTAATGTATGGATGATCTGTAGGTGCACAGGCAAATTTACACACAGGTATGTTTATTCAACATGTGCCTTTTGCTGACTGCTGTGAAATGCTTGTGCGTGTAGTACAGTGGCAAAGAGAAGCTTGATGTGTTGATTTCTTGTCATTCACTTTCCAAAATGAGGATGCCTGACAACAGTGTGGTTCTGGAATATGAGCTACAGTGACAAGATATTAAGGAGAATATAATCCAATCTGTCTGCTGTATATATGTGTGTCTGTGTTTTTTAATGCCTCCTCATCTATGTCATGCCAGTAAGCAAAAGTTTCCAAATGGGTTTTTGAGATCATACTTTGAAACAGAATAAAACTGACGTGAGGATTTTGCTCAGTGTCGGATGCGGATTCCCATCCGTTAATCTGTTATGTTGAGAATGTGATTTGAAGAATTAAAAATAAAATTCCAAAGTTCCCAGACACAACCGCCTGTGGGTAGTTATGCATATTAGTCTGTCTTGGTGCATTTGTATGTGTGTGTGTGCGTTGGCGGGGGGGGAGGGTTTACATTTGGGAACCTCAATTTTATGAAATCTGTGAAAGCAATCAAAAAAGTAAAAATGCCGAAAGTCTTGTATTTTGTTTGCTTATTTATAGTTAAGGTTAGGGCTGGGTAGGGGTTAATGGTGCTGTGACTGGGATTAGGGATTTTCCCATAGAAATGAATGGAAGGTCCCGATTTAGATAGGTATGCCAACGTGTGTGTGTGTGTGTGTTTTTGCGTGTGTGTGCATCATTGAATCTACGTAGGTCTGTGTGGCTGCTAATGCGAGTCATTACCCCCACCCTCCTCCAGGGGCCGAAAGGAGACAGGAGGGGCCGGGGGGGGGATGCAGGGGGAGGAGGGTTCCCAGGAGAGGGGAGGCCCAATAAATCACCCCGCTGTCTCGGCACTGACACCAGGCCTGTCTGATGAGGGGGTGGGGGGATAGCAACAACAGCATGGCCTTGTCTCCCCATCAGTCACCTCCACGCTGGGCTGGTGCCATCTTCCCACTGTCCTGTGGGAACCTGACAGACCTCCCTACACTGGTCCCCTCAAAACTCATGGTACTGTCCATAGGAGGCTTAGGGGGCTCAATGGGCTGCTGCCCCCTGCCTTTTTAACGTGACGTGCTTTTTGTTGAACCCTTTGAATATTAATGAAGTAAAACTGTTTACTATAAATCTGTTGTATGATAAGTGGCGAAACAACGAGAGCCCTCTTATCTACGTAAATGTTGATATGATAATTACGGTGATGTAGCATTGTTTTGCTTTGTTGTAAACAGCATTACCGTAATTTCGTTCACGAAAATGATTAGCTAATCAAGTCCCACTCTATTTCGGCTTCCCATCTCCCTCTTCCCCCCTCCTTGTACCTCCGCCGTCTCCACCCCGCTGCCTGCCCGCCCGCTATCATTACGGCAGCTGACATCGCCTCAGACCAAACGGCAGCTCACCTTCCAGTCAGCTGTTAGTCTGCGGCCCAGCCGCCCATCAGTCTTTCTCCCGCATGCCGCAAATCGTGATGGTGAAAGATGGGGGAAGCCGCAGGTGGCGGCCAAGCTCGCGGGCGGGTGGGAACCACGGCAGCGTGTGTATTTATGTGTAACAAAAAAGGGGGAAAACAGCCTCTGTAAATAAAGACAAAGAGTGTGTGTCGCTGCTAGATAAATCAGACCTGGTCACATTGCTCCAGGTTTGTCAAGACCCAGTAAACTATTTATACAGATATACAACTCTTTGCGATGTGATCTTTTTATTATTTTCCCATAAGCATTTATCATTTACATGATAATATGAATCTGATTGGGCGACCTAGTTCAAAACCTCGTGACCTAGATGTAGTGACAACTTTATGAAAGGGACGTTGTCCCCTCGCACAGACCTGATTTGTGGGCCCATCGCAGGTCTGCCATCCCCCCCCCCCGGGGTCTGGTTCAGCCCCGCCTCCCCCAGGCATGACCTCATCTGCAATTCTGTGCGCGCATCATCACTCTCGCCATTCCACCGTCTGCGATAATGTGAAATCCCCCCCACACATGCACAAATATGCATTGTGCCCTGCTCCCGCTTCAGCCTGAAATATCCAGAGGAGTCGGACAGCCATGCGTCGCATTCCTTCCTGCATAATAAATGCGATCCCTCGATCCAGAAGGGCGTGAAACCAGCTATGGGTGTTAAAATTCACAGAAGAAAATACAATACAATCTGCCTTTCATACTTTTCTCTCCCACATTCTATGTGTTCCACATAAATTGTCTCAGTCCTTCAATTTATAATCTTAGTCTCCCTCTCCCTCTGAACTGCCCCATTTAGCTCTCTTTCCCTTTTCCTGCTCCCCCCCCCCCCCCTCCCCGCTTTCTTTGTGTTTCCCAGCTCCACCTCTGGCAGGTTGTGATTTCCAATTGCAGGAATTTGCTTTTCCAATATCTGTCTCCCTAATTATGGGCACCTCTGAAGGGGGGCATGTCACCGGAATGCTAATAAATATCTCCAGTATTTGCCTTTTTTATATTCATATTCTCGTTTTAAGGGACACCTATAGGAAGTTACACGTACAAATTCTCCCATGCCGTGCACTGCAGGTTTTTCCTGCGGCCTTTTCAAGAACACATGCCAGACAGACTTCTGGGGGGAAAAATATTATTGGCACTGACGTAATTTATTTATTTATTTCTGTTTTGGCCTCAAATTGAAGAACAGAAAAAAAAACATGCCTAATAAGGGCGGCGTAATTCATCTAACTGCAGCGGCTGGATTTTGTAGCGTACCTGAGTCCCAGTTTGTGCTTCACCGTTACTAATTAGCTCTCCCACAACAACCTGCTCTGCTATAAGACCGCTGGTTTTTGAGCAGGCAGTTGAGTACAGTCATTTCTGAATAGCGGACAGTGTAATACTCCCAAGTATGTCAAGTACAAACTTTGTGACATGGGCTGATGTACCAGGGAGAGTTGCATTCTGTCTGCTGTGGAGTTTATGTCCTTGCTTGTAAATGAGATTAGCTTTCTTACTCTGTGAGCCTTTCAGATGTTCTATTGCTTGTTTATTTTTCTCTGTGTGAACAATGGAAACTTTAACCAAACTTGTGTCATGGAGCGTCTCTTTAAAAATCAAACATTTAGCATCCATAAGTAAGAATTAACTTTAGTTAGTAGTTTTAAGATATACCCCCCCCCCTCGCCCGCCCGCCTACCTGTGCCCACCTTGATTTGATCGCAAATGTTACATTTCTTTCTGCTAGAGGTATATCTGCAAACTGAGATATTTTTAGGATTCTTTCATGGCATGACCTGATACACACCGATGGTACTTGGATTTATTTGAGGAAGAACTCCCGTGTGACTTATCACCCTTTGTTACTGTAGGGACACTGTCCTTTAAAATCAAGCCTTTATTAAGTGCCACAGTATTTATACAATAAAACATCAATAGAAAATTACATTTTAAAACGACATGCAAATTCGCATGAATCTGTTATATTTCTTTAGACGCTGGTACGAATTAATTACTAACAATAAGTATGCCAGATGTAAATATATCATTGTTTTTATGCCTTAAAACTGTCCAACCAAGGATTTAACATGTGATTCCCCTATACTACCAGTTCATTCCTGAAAAGGAAGGGGAAAATGTATGCAAATTGCGATTACCATAACAACTCCATCTCCCTCACTTATTTTTGCCTCCAAAGAGTTAAATCCTCCTCGCGGCCATTTTGCCATTCTTGATTGACGTGTAGAACAGCGAGACACGGTCATCCTCCAATCAACAAACACATCGGGTAACCCACGTGGGGTATGTAAATACTCATTGGTTGGTGCTGCCCGTGTTGATTGTAGCTGGGTCGAACCCCACGTGGAGAGTTCATTCATTCATTGATCAATTCCATTGCATCCCCCACACCTCCTATCAGCAAATTTACATGAGCATGGAAAACCGAAAGATCCTGAGAAGTAGTTCAAAAGTGAGAAACACCAAGTAGTGTGCACTAAACAAGAAAAAGGGGTTTCAGTAAAACAAGTGCGAGACTATGGAATACGCAATGTAATAATGGTAGCATTCTTAGAACATTTTTTTTAAAGTACATAATTGAATTTGCCCATTTTAATTAGCATTAAGTAAAATTTATTCCACTTCTATTATGAAGTATATCATTTTTAAATAAATATTATTTTGTTTAACTCTGGCCCGTACTATGTGAATTATTTCATTCAGAACCAAGTAATTACCCGTATCTATTAACTGGGCAGCAACCTTAAGAAATGGGTAAGAGCGTAGAAGAGGAGACGTAGCTTATTAGCTATAGCCTGCCCAATATTGATCACACTGTGGCGACAACTATGCGTCTTGTTTCCCTCTCAAAGAAAACTCCTGTCTGTCCCATTCATTGAAAGTCAGAAGGGGAAGGAGAGAGTGAGAAAGGGAGCTGAGCAGAGAAGGAAGGAGTGAGTTTTCTGGAAAGCCCGAAGAAACCAGCGAAACAAAGGAAGCTGCGTTTGCGTTGCATGTCTTGTCCGTCTCAGGAGCTCGGTGATACTCTTAGACTGAATAGCTACCTTTTCTTGTTTGGTAGAATTGGTACGAAGGAGATACGTGGAGGTGGGAAACTGCGGATTTTTTTTAGAAGATCGAGAGGTTTTTAAGCAGCAAAGTGCTGAACACGGAGTGACCGAACCAAATATTTCGCTTTAAGAAAATCTGGTGAATCTGTAGCCAGTACTGCGCGCGTGTTATTATTTTTTTTTCTTTTACCAGTGTTAAATAAAACACGAACAAAGGAAGGCTTAAGTAGGGTATGTGTAAGACGAGCCAAGATTTACCATTATTGCCTTTGAAACAGGGCCTGATGCATTTCTGAAGCCAACAATAAATACTCCATACATTTTCTCTCGGGAATCTTTTGTTTTCTAAAAACAATCGGACTAAGCAAAAGGCTCACAGCCCCCAAAAATGTACCCCCAGAATCGACCCCCGGTGAGTATACCGCTCTAGAGTTCAAACAACAGCACTTCTTAAAATTACGATAAATGCTTCACTTTGTAGTTGTCTAGAAGATCCCATGTGCCCGAATTTTCGTTTGCTTGGATTCAAATGAGCATAAGTTTACCGAGTAAATATACGCCAGCGTTATTGGACAAAATAATGGGACACCACAACAGGCGACCTCAAGTATCGTTTGTTGATTTACCTACAATAGATAGAAGCGGTGTTTTAATGCCGATAAACATAAGCAGTGTGCAGAGGGTGATAGTATTATCTTCCTGAGTGAGTGATACGGGGCGTATTCGACACATTTCAGGTAAGAATGCGTTGTTTGCCGATAAAGCACGTTGGCTGTATAACCGAATTTGCGGGGGTATCGCTACACCAGTTATACAACTCCTGCCCTATGAATTTGCCGAAATTTGTAACAATATATCAAGTTGCACGGATTTTAATCTTTAATCTTCAATACAGTTTACTGTAGATGTAGCCTATACCACTGACGCTTGATCGCTTTATTTACCTCAGACAGCTGACGTCGTGTTGCCAAATTTTGTTGCTATCTCTTTTACTAATTTCCACCGAAATATAGCCTATTTAGGCTATATGGTATGTCAGAGCCAAAGGAATTCGTGAAAATGATGAAAATGTGTGTATAACATCCTGATGTGTGAGCCCAATTGGAATACCGCGGTAGGTTATTGTATGCAAAATTATAAATACATCTGTAAATGCCTTTTGTTATTACTTGAACAGGTATGAATATAAACCAGCAAATTGTCCCTGCTCCACCATTGGAATTAGTAAAGTTCCTGCATCCCGTGTTGACCTAAGTGAGTTGATGAGGCCTAGGAAGCAGCAGTGTGTGTAAAGATTGCTCCAGCTGATAAGGCGATTTCAGTATTATTTCCACCTTCCAAAAGGTTACACCAGAAATAAGACCGGAGCTTCCCAGGATAGAGCTTAGCTTACACCCCAGTTTATTCAATTCCACAAAGCCCAGGGTCAGTTGTAGCCCACCATGTGCAGGGTGGGGAATCTGATCTTACCTTATGGATACCAAAAACAACACCTGAGGTCGCTACAAGTGTCTAACCGGAGCAAGGTCACCAGGGTAACCGCATTGGACGCCCCCACAATCCCCTTTACCGTATTTACATCTATATTTACATCTGTACAATATCTATACAGTGCATCTATTTGCATCTATACTCTTAATAATCCTGTTAGATTTTTTTTTTTTTTAGTTTTGTAACAGAACTTTTAAATGCAAAGTATTGAATCCTGTGCACTTTTAAAATTGTATGTGTCATGAAATGCATACAATGTTATTTGCAGTTCAACAGTCAGTTTTAAAACCCAGCATTATATGAATTTGGGTGTTTGGTTTAATTTAGTCCACAAAATGGATACTGACACTATCCAAAACAGCCAACGTAATTCGTTATTCCAGTGCCAAATATTACAGACATGACATAACATTTATCCCAGCTGAAAAGCATAGAAGCCTGACATTTTTTAAGAAAATAAAATGCTTGGTAAAAAAAAAAATCATTCATGGTGTAGACAGGTTTTACAATTTATTGCTTGGTGCAAAACCTCATTCCCTAAAACCTTGTACTAAGTAATAGTGCTTGCCATCTATTCTGACGGCCTCCTTAACCACAAGGCTTTTGTTTCCTGGCATGATGTGGGCCTGGAAGGCAGAGCCTGTGGCGTTTCATGAAACTTGCATGAACTGCAGCGCTCTCGCAATACAGTTTGTCAGCACTGTGGCTGCGCGCTAAACACTGTGCTTCGCCTTGACTCTCTGCAGCCATGTTGGTGTTCCTGATTAGTCTGGTCCTGTACAGTGTGGGGGAGGCAGGCGGCCATTAAGTAACAGTAAGGCGAGTGGATATAGTATAGTACCTTTAATCTTTCTACATCAAAATGCTTTTGACTTTTGCTGGTGTGTGTGTGTGTGTGTGCGCGAGTGCATTAGTGTGTCTGCGTCCAGCGCTGTTGCAGTGATTGCACGCCCCCCACCCTGAAAATTGTCTAGAAAGTAAGGCCTTGACTCTTAGCATGGACCCACCTGTGCTGTGCTCACTGAGCTGTGTTTATAGGTGGTCAGAGGCATCAGTTTCACCTAATTTAATTAAGGTCTAGTGGATTTGAGGAAGCAGTTTTTTTTTTTCCTTCTATGTTTTGTCCTTTTGGGACGACTTTTATGCTGTTCTGATTTGCCAGTAATCTAGTGGTGAAAAAGTACAGTGATCAATTAATGTAATTGTTAAATATAACATCAACAAAAAGGTACTGAGATTATTTACATGAGTTAACATCTCTGAGTTGCTTGTTCAGGGTGCATAAACAATCCGGTCAGGAATTCACCTCCCCTACAATAATTTTAACCATTTTACCAATGAATTTCTTAATACTTAATCATGCAAGTTGTCAAAAAAAAAAAAACTCGGCGGTCATGTTTATACTTTTAATTCCTTAAATGTAGCGGGGAGGCGGCTCCTTCCCGGTTTCAAGAGAAGCTGTAGCCTAAAGTTTGTGCAATTTGACTCTGGTGCACTTTGTTACTTAGCAACAACTGGAAATGTAGGAAGCGGGGCTCGGACTGTGCGCGGAAATTTATGCTCCAGTTTGCTGGGATGCGAAGTCCGGGAGGGCGGGGAGCCTGCAGATATACATCAGCTAGCAACCTGTTTAGCAAGCGTGACCTTTACTTTAATCGTATTTAGCAGATGGACAAGTAAAATCAGTAGGGAGTATGAGGGAAAAAAAATCATACAACAATAACGTTTTAACTGAACTTAAGAAATGACCGTACCGAAACCTAGATGGTTTTAGAGATTGATGCGAAAATGTTGTTTGTATGTTTAGCTTTTACCAGTTTACGTTATGGGTAGCGCTCTTATCTCCAAATAAAGGCATCTTTATATAATCCCAGTGATATTCAGCTGATCCCTGATGTGTGCTGACCCTGTCTCGTGCGCTCTGGCGGTCTCGCGACGATCACAAATGAGAAATGTGTTACAAATCATTAAGTTAACAAAATCTGAACTTAATGATTTCCCCCCAAAACGGTATTGTAAGTAAAGCTAATGTTGCGTAACGTTGTCCCCGTCTTGACCCGCGGCGGTAGTGAGTGAGACGGTCATTTTGCAAGTTGCTCTGATGTGCATCCATGGAGGCTGGGATCCCTCGGGCGGCTGTGGCCGGGGAGGCGTTTGTGCTTCGCCTGTGGACAGCGGATCGCCCTGCGGTGACCCCAGCGGAAAGAGCGTGTCCGGGCCCGGTGTGTCTGTGTCGTGCAGGCGTGGCTCGGAAAGCCGCATGACGGAAAGAACACCCGGTCCCGTAGCGGTGAGCTAATAAAGCGAAGCACCTACAGCAATTAACGCAGCTGACAGGCAAGCTGTTCCCCATTGCTAATGCATTTTGACAGCACAGACATTTGAATAACGAGCTTGCAAAAAAGGGGGAGAGGGCCCTGGGCATTTCCCCGAGTATGGAGAGACTTGGGATCAATGGAGGGGGGGTGACCGTGTCCCTCAGCGAATCATTCTCGGGGCGGAAAATGTGAAGCGCTTTCAAATGCTAATATCTACTTGTTGTTGAAAATATATTTTGAAACGCGAATGTAATCGAGGTTTGAACTCCAAGCACTTAATATAAGAGGCAATAAGCAAAAAAACAAGGATCATATTTGCGTGTCGGCCCTGAGGAGGAGCTGGATCTGCAGACTGTGGTCAATGGCTAATTCAGATTTGCTAAATCCCCACCCCGGTTCTTACCCAGTGTTGGTGCGGTCTGTGAACGAACCCATGTTATCAGTTGATTGCTGACTAACAATTTTTTCCTGAGAAGGAATGATGTGCAACAGTTGGGCTGTAGGGACAATAAGCACCCCCCCCCCCCCTGGATCTGTCAGTGGACCCTGCTCTGCTGATCTGTCAGTAATCATTTATTTACTTTTGGACCTTCGATACTTAGTTACCAACAGCTTCAGGAGCAAACGCTTGAGGGAGTACGTCTGGTGTAGAGTATGACGCACACCGGCGGTGATCGGCAAAGAAGCTTTCAGTAGGTGGTGTTTGCAGTTCTTGCTGACTTTGAATCTTTGAATTCTCGGTAGACGCTGTCGGTGTTTCAGGTTGTGCGTTCTGTCAGCATGTCTGTGGGGTTTTGCGTTCCGGGGTTGTGGGAGATTGAGACAAGCTAAGATGACGGTTTAACCAAGGCTGTTTTCAGCTCCCCCGCCTGTGTTCGATTTGCTATTTTGATGTTTTTTTTTTGTTTTGTTTTTTGTTTTTGGGGAGGGGGGGTTGTAGAGGGTGAGGGTGCAGGGATTGTGTGATATGTGCGAGACCCTGCAGGGGGCATGTGACATGGTGACGCTGAGAGATTGTGGTGTTTTGAGTCTTGCGTGTAAGTGTTCCTGTATGCACCTCTGTGCGTTTATGAGAGAATGGATCTGAGGCCAATGTGACTGGTGTGTTATCTGTAATGGGGGGGGGGGTAAAGAGCCGGACAGTGGGGGGGCTACATGCGTCTGCATCTTTTGCCTTTGCGGAAGTTCTAGTAGCATCCAAGCTCTCAAGCTGCTATACGTTGTAGACCAACTACAGTGTCTGCTGGCTGTGTTCATCCCCAGCTGATTGCAAGGTGGTCCAGCTGCCCCCCCATATAAAAACCAGTAGAGTGAATGAAACCCCAGTTTAAATCCATTCCTTTCCCAGCCTCCCTGTGCATCATGGGAGGGGAAATTCTATCAGTGCGATTCACTGAATCTCTGAACGTCGTACAGATCGCTGTGGGGATATTAATGCTGACGCCGCCGGAGAGCCCTAATGGCGGCTTTTCTGAAGAGAAGATACGAGAAATCAGTGAATAAACATGCTGCTAATGTGAGGTTATCAGAGTTCCAGATACCAAATGTGATGTTTCTCCTGTGATCTTGTTCAGCCTTCGCCTCTGTGCTAGATCCTTTGACA